ACTAGAGTACACTCCGGTACAAGTACCTCGTATTGAATCCTTATGACGGAATACATGTACAACTGAAGATTGTCAATCCAGCCATTGTAGCCGGGCTGCCGTATAGTTACTATCGGGCGACAAGTGGCAACAGTACCGAACACACTCAGGTTCGGCTTTGCTCGCTACACTCCAGTGATGCAACAGTGAGCGAGGTACCTCGCATTGGATCCTTATGACGAAGATATACACAACCGAATATTGTCAATCCTATTGATCTATAAGGTGTCTACTATCTAATGAAAGGAGTGGTCTATTGGTCGGCAATCGATGATCTATTATCTTACGAAAGAAGCAAGTCGTTCGCCCGAGGACTTGTGCATGCAGAAAAATGGATGCCGACACAGGAATCACCACCAAATCACAAGGAAATAACACTGGAGGGATGAATCCAGTAGTAGGATCCACTCTCCTCTGTGCTTTTGTGCGTTGTTGTGTAGCCTCCTTCGGTTGACTGTTGCCATTCAATGACTCGAAGACGTCATTCATGCTGTTGGTAGGGCTGGAGTTAACAGAGCCTCGTCCTCCGTAGCTGCGGCGGTAGCCTCTCCTCTTGTTATCCGGAGCGATCTTTCGTTCGACCTCGACAATGGTATTTCCTCGGCTGTCAGCAGTACAGCAGAGAAAACAACAAATAAATACGAGTTTTGTTCTCTGTGCTGAACTGCAGACGACCGGAGACTTACCCTTGTTTTCCAAATTGCACCAACTTGGCTGTCATGGGCCTAGAACTGACTGCCATCCCATGGTCCATAGGATTCAATGAGAGATGGCTTTCGAATCTACACCATAGAAGGTCGGCTTGAGTGAGGCTTGATAATAGAGATAATAGAGGTACAAACGATCGACTCGAATAATTAAAACAACTCACCTGTTGACGGCGGAGCTTGGAATTCTCTCCTAAATACCATAGAAATCCAATGAGGGAGAGAAGTCAGTGCTGCGCCTTCAACAACACTCTTAATAATAGGCTTACCTCGTTCGTTCGATCGATTCAACGCTCCGAGTACTCTTGTCGGTAAAGCTTGGATTTCTCTCCTGTTTACCATAGAAATTCAATGAAGGCGAGATGCCAGTGCTGTGCCTTCAATGATATCGATGGACTTGAACCATTCATCGTACCGTACTCAATCAGTTTATCCTTAACCTTAGCAACTTCAACGGTTCTTTTATTCCACGAATCACCTGTACAGACGTTAAAAAAAGTTAAGTACAAGTTTGGTACTTACGGATACACATGACCGTTGATTCTGCAACTGAAGTGCGGGTACACTAATTTACACAGTAAACGCCGGCAAATCGATTTCAGAGTGCAACTGAGGGGGTAACCAAAAGGAGCGCCGTCTCAAGGAGACGGAACAAGACTGAGTTTTTTACTGTTTCAGTGGCGAGGAGAAAGACATTTTGGTCGTCAATCGACGAGCCATTTCTGCACTTGATTGGGGAAAGAGAGCACATCTCCCTTGCCGAAACTTATCGCTGGCTGGAACGCTGGGACTGCACTCCGGAACCAGTTGGACCTGCCTGTTGCTGCTCGATTTCTAAAAAATAAGCTACAACCACAGGACGATTCTCATTTACCATAATTTTTCCTTTCGACCAAGATAAAGGGACCATGACAATGGCAACGCCAGACCAAGGCATGCTGGAGACTGCAAGTACATCAACCGTCAGCAAGGATTACTCCAGGTTGGACGTGGATGCAATTCTAAAGGGTGTGGAAGTGGTGGAAGGGTTGCAGGATGGCTTACCAAACCAGGACGGTGGTGACGGTACCACCGTCATGGACGTTTCAACGAAAAAAATGGAAGAAGTATCCAACAAGCTCCGCGAACTAATGGACGAATCGGCCCCTGATAGCAGCTACCAGGCTCCTGATTTGGCGGCAGCCAACCTCAAAGCAATGGAAAAGATTTCTATTCGGGGCTCTCATGAATCTTTGGTGGACAAGTTGTATCAAAAGGCTGCACAAAAGCAGCGACAGCCCGATCGCATCAAGCCCGTTGCTCCTGCAAACACTGGCGAGAAAAAGCTCCGCCCGGTCAAAAGTTTCGGGAATATGCCAGTTGTTCCTGCTCCCAGCAAGAACTCCCGACGACAAACGGCTCTTCCCAACCGAGGAGCTTTGCGAAGAACCAGCAGTCTCAGTGGTCTCGCATTGAAGGCAGCCGTTGGTGGTCTCGACGCTCTCAAGGAGGAAGAGAAGAGAAGCAAAGCCCGGAAAATGAGGGATCCTCTCAGTACATCTCTTCATCATGGGAAGGCCAGCAGCAGCAGTCTTGTCAGCAGTTCAAGAACCCACAAAAGCGAAAAGTCTGCAGGATCCAGCAAGAGCAAACGAATTATCAGAAAAACTGCAAGCTTACCCGAGGAGGCTAATGCTCCCGATGTTCCTCGTAGTCAAAGTCCTCGTCGAAACACAGTTGTTTCCTTATCGCCTACCAGAAAAGTTCGCCGAAGCAGCAGTTTGGACCCCAAATGTGGCACGACGGGACCCGCCTGAAGCGCCGAAGCTTTGTTAACAAGAGATCACTGGTTTCTTGCGAATGGAGGGCAACGCCTTCTCCACATCATCGCTCTTGTGACCCCTACGATTTGTGCGACGACCCCGCTGAGAGTCCGTCTTGTTGTCTCGTCTCTTGTGCATTCGAGACACGATTGCGCTCGTGGACTTTTGAAAGATTTCTGCGTTTGCCAAAGCCTTTGACTTTCTGTTCCTCGTCTTCTGTCTCGTCGCAGAGCTTTTTCATCAATCATCCTCCATACTGCTTGCACAGAAAGCAGGCTTGATCGGTAGGCCACCTCGTAATACGTCTTTATCGAGTTGCGTCATCGCACTTTGGGTTTGCAGGTGATGTTGGTGCTTGAATTAGTCTTCTTCTCTCCTGTATGTTCACTGTCCTACTGTTTACTGGTTGGGCACGATTTTTTTTGTCCCTGGATTTTCAGTGCTGGAACTTTTACGCGAATCCTCGATTCTCTTTTTCGTACCGTGTGCTTCCTTCATTTTCT